AGAGTGTGGCGAGGACACTCCGAATCCTTCTGGGATCGGGTAGCGGGCTGGGCCAAAAAACGGCCGGTTTTCTCTAATGGGATTCCCTCCTCCATTGCCTCCTTTCTGCATGACTCTGAGGCCAAATGGGCCTCAAATGCCAACATGACCTGGGCGGAATGGAAGGACGAGACGTTCCGTGTTCTAAAGGGAGAGTCACCTAGCAAGGGATGGCTTGAAACCACAACCGCACAGCAGAGGCAGGCCCGTTCAGACCATTTAACCAGCAAAAGCACTCATTTTCAAACATGGCTTCAGACCTCAGTTAAACAAGGGATGCGACCTTTGTTCCGGGCACTAAGCAACCCTGATGCTAAGGTAGAAAGACCTTTCCGAAATGTTGGCCTTGAACTCAGACCTTTCCTTCGATTAGGATTTTGGTCGGTTCTTTGGCAAGCCCAGCCTTCTCCTCTGCCCTCAGTTTCACCGGAGCTTCATGAGCGTGCCCGAGAACACGCCCTGTCCTTACAGCCAATCACGATTGACATGCTCCTCCCGAGGCTACGTAAACTTGCCAACAAGGCTGGAGGTGCAGATGGATGGAGCTACGCGCAGCTCAAAATGCTTCCGGATGAGGCTTTAGAGGCTATGCTGTTCATTTTTCGGAGCATAGAATGCGAAGGAGTGCTTCCCGAACAGTGGCTTACCACTTTAATCACTATGCTTCCAAAAAACTTGAAAGTTGAACGCCCGATTGCGTTATGCAACGCAACTTACCGGTTGTGGGCCAAGTTAAGATACCCTGAGGTCGAGGATTGGATTCTTCAATTTCAGGCCAAAGCACCTTGGGAGCAAGTTGTACCGGGACAATCCACTTTGGATGTGAGCATTTTTCGCTTACTCTCGGCGGAACTGGCGCGCGTTAAGAAACGAAGCCGAATTGTGTTGTTCGTAGACCTTCAAACATTTTATGAGGCGGTGTCACATACTGCCGTTGCTGAGCAAGCACTGTTGCACCAGTTCCCAGCAGTTTGTGTCGACGCCGCTCTAAAGGTCTACAGAGGGGCCCGCTACATTCTGTCTGAGTCCACGGTGTCGCCAGTATGCTTCGCAGCATCTGGCCTGATGGCTGGATGCCCTTATGCACCAGCTTTAGCAAAACTGGCTCTTTATCCCAGTCTTTCTACACTCAGGTCATCAAATCTTACTGACAACATAACTGCATGGCTTGACGACATCAGTGTCGACACTGAAGGGCCACACGCCACTCAAACTGCAGCACGGGCACACAAATCTTATCAGCTTCTCAAGAGCTCCCTTGAACGGGATGGGTTAAAAATGTCGCTGACCAAAACTTGCTTTGTGTGCTCGGATGCCCAGGCGGAGAAATCCTTAAAAAAGGTTTTAGGCCCTAATGACCCCCCGATCTCTTCGCTTGCTCGTGATCTAGGAACTGATTACTCAGGAGCACGCCGTCGCCGAATAACAATTGCCAAAGAACGGCAAGCCAAAGGCAGAACCAGATCCACCCGCCTCCGTAAGCTTCAGGTACCCTCTCTTTCGCATAAGTGGAGGGCTTTCAAAGGAGGGGTTTTTGCAACTGCCGCATGGGGACACCAAGCCCAGGGTTTGGCACCCAAAAGGCTAAAGTGGTTAAGGGCTTGCGCTGCACAACAGCTGAATCGTCACAAGCTTGGTAGCTCTGATCTGGTGTTTGATTTTCATCGTAAGTTTGAGGACCCTATCATCACCATTGTCACTCAGCATTTGACAACCATTGCCAGGATTTTCCGCAGATGGCCTTTATCGCGTTGGTCTCAACTTCAGAGTGCATGGGAATGTTCGTGGGAGCGTCTTCGCTCCACAAAGTATCCTTGGCAGGTTGTATCTGGCCCTCTAGCTGCGGCGCAAGCGTACTTGTTCCAATTTGACGTTAACTGCCGTTCTCTTGAACAATGGACTTTCGGTGCCACCGTTCTTAATTGCCAATGGTTGGATCCGGACTTCAAGGAGGTGCTTAAGCGACGACTTAAGGGCCATCTTCTTGATTTACGTAATACCCGAATGGCACACGTCCTTGAAGATACAGCAGTCACGCAAGGCCTTGATTGGACCAGTCACCGTCGCCAAATCGCACAAATAGCAAAGTGCAGAAAACCCACCAAATGGCTCCGAGCGTTGTGGCAAGGCGCTGTGCTTTGTCAGACCACTGGTGGACAAGAGCTGTGCCCTTTGTGTGGCACTCCTGCGACGTGGAGACATGTTTTGCTTGACTGTGATTACTGGCAGACCCGTCATCGCAAACCTCCGCCCAGTTGGACTGCACTCCAACAGCAATGGCCATCGTCTTCATTGTGGGAGCGAGGCTTGCTCCCGGCGGCCATGACCCTGCAGTCAAGGCCAGCCTTTACACAAACTGATGTGCGTGAAGGCTCTTGGTCCGTAGAGGAACGCGTCGATGCACAACAGTTTGTCTTTAGTACTGATGCCACAGGTGGCCCGGACAGCGCAGATGTACGGCGCCGCATAGTAGCTTTTGCTGTAGTCGCCTTTCAAAAAACTCACAATCAGCTTTCGCAAGTTGCGGCTATCACAGGGTACCTTCCTGTGGGAGCCTCGGTAGCTGATGGTGAGACGCGTGCCCTGCAAGTTTTGCAAGAAAACATTTTTGGTGTGGCCGATGTAACAGCTGATTGTCAAACAGCCATTAAACGAGCAACGTCTTTTGGCACCAACCTGCAGTGTCATTGGGTGAGATCTCACCAGAGTCGGGAGGCTTTTAAGACGGAGTTTGGAGAGCAAAACTTGTGGCGACACGAAGCCAATCACATTGCGGATCAACTTTGTGATAAGGTTGCTATGCGCATTTATGACAAGGACTTTTCATGCAGAGTTCAGTTCCTTGATTCCCTTGTGCAGAAGATTTCCACTTTCCTTTCGGAGAGGGTTGAGATCCTTATCACTTCAAAAAACGATCCTCCTCCGCAGGTTTTCCGTGAACAGAGAGGCAAACAGCACCGAAACAAGGTCGCAGTCTCGCAGGCTTTTGCCAAACCACGTCGAGCGGAGCAGCAAGCTCTGTCCACGCAAGCCACTCAACGTGAACCTGGCCCCAACAAAAAGCAGAGGCTGCTTCGTCTGCTTGAGGATCCCAGCCTCCATCTCGGTCATGAGTGGAAGGCGACAGGGACCAAGGCTGAGAACAACGTTGCTGTTCAATGCCAACGTTGCCAACTTTACATTGAGCAATGTAATGCGCCTGACCTTTTCAACCGAAAAATTAACCACCCTTGCCAAGACATCCCAGCAGCCTTGCCTGAGTGCTGGTCGATTCACTCTTCGCACTCAATGGTAAATAAAGGAGCGTTTTTCGCTTGCTCTAAGTGTTTGGCGACTGTTAAGTTGGCTGCGAAGGCTTCAACTAAGACACTCTTGAACCACTGTAAAGGTTTGAGTCGCCGCACTGGAAAGAACCTCTTGAGAACCAAAGTGCACGAGCAAGTGAGTGCTGAGCAGCATGTTTCCATTGCTGCACTTTTCCACCCAAGAGCTGATCCGGTCCAGGTTGAGGCGCAAAAGTCTGACCCACCTAGTAATGACCTAAACCAGTTGTGCCCGCCGCCTCCACCTAAGGTCAATAATCCCTTGCAGTCAAACCCTAAACCCAAGGCTAAGCCGAAGTCTGCCCTGCCCGGCGATGACCCCAAACAGAAGACCCTTTGTTTTCGGAATTCTAAATCTCATTAATGCCCGGTGTGCGCCTTGTCTGGCAGCACCCGGAAAATGGAAAGGGTCTGTTTATTTGGTGTAAGGTTTAATGCCAGGAGTACGATGTTGGATGCCATTTGGAAAGCGACTCAAATGAGAACTGTGCCGGTGTGCGCTTGAATGCTGCACCCGAAAATTTCCTTTGAGACCCAACTTGTCCTCTAGGTAGACGAATGATCCATGTGTGCGCCCTGATGGCTGCACCTTCAGGTAGTCTTGGGGCTAACTAGGCTGTTTTCCGGAGGGCGCCTGTGTGCTGCACCCAAAAATTCCTCAGTCTGGTTGGTGTGTGCGTGAAAGCCAACTGCAAACCGCCAAGGGCCTTGCAATGCTGTGCTCAATGGTCCGAGTGCGAAAAGGTTGATGAATATGCCACTAGGAGGAAGAACCACACTTGTGGAAGTCCTCGATATTTTGGAGCCTCGGGAACTTACACTGGTGTCTCCCTGGTAGTGATACCCCTGCCGGCATGTCTAATGCTGGAACTTCTTGCTTATAATGCTCATGATCCTTCAGTGGTGTGGGCATTCGCGTGCTCACACCACTGGGGGTTGGTCAGGCCCCGACGTGTACGGTCTACTGGTAGTTCGCTCACTGTGTACAGGCGCCGAGCTTCCTGGTAAGACAACGTCTTGAGCTGACCTGCAGGAGCTGTGTTACCTTGGAGGCTGTGATGCTCCTGTTTGCCTTGAGATTGGATGGAAGGCAGTCCTGCATGCATGCCCGTTGAATTCGGTGCTCATTGCCTCCTCACCTCTTGGCTTCACCACACGGTCCAGACGACCTACTGCGTGCAACAGTTTCGCTCAGCTTCCTCTGGGAGGCTGGGCGAAACTTCCGTAGGCAGCGTAGTTTCCTCTGTTGATCTGTGGTTGCTTAGGTAGCTGTAGTTTTTATTTCGTCTTTCTCAATAGCCTTGGAGCTGCGACTGTTGACCGCCAGAGAGAGAAAGATGCTCCTTTGGCTCAAGAGTTTTCGGCTCAGACTTTGCAGTGCCGTCGTGGCCTTTTAGCCTTGGGACCCACTTTGTCTAGAGGCTTCGAAGAGTCCCCAAACCCAACCTGGTAAAGGTCGTAGGCCTGACAGCAGGCAAGGGTTTGGTGGGCGGCCCGGTAGGCTGTTTACTGCACTTTCTGAGTGAGGTCGATCCTCCTCTTGCCGAGTGCACTTCTAGAGCTTGGAAGTGGCCACCACTCCTTGCTTGCTTTCTGCAGCCACTACTTCTGGTAGTGGTTTCCACACCAGCTGCAGCCATGCCGCGCACTCCCAAGTGGATCCCGTGCGCCTGTGGGTACCACTGGGCCTGGAAACGCCAGGTCGAGTCGGGTGAAAATACCCACTGTGCGTGCTGCGGCAGAAACTGGCAGAAGCAGCTGAACAAGCAGCAAGCAAGCAAGGAAGCCCGTGCCGAGCAATCCCAGAGCCCCCGAGCTGTCTGGGAGGACGGCCGCACCAAAGGCAAGGGCAAAGGAGAAGGCAAGGGTTCCAAGAACCCTCCAGGTGGCAAAGTCGGCGCGGTACTCGCGGGTCTTTGGAAAGACCTTCCTGAGGCTGCACAGAAAGCCTTCCAGGAGGTCGGGTACAGCCCACCTCGGCCGAAAGGGCCACCGCCTCCCCCGCCTGGACTGGACCTCCAGTCCCTCCTTAAGGGTAGGATGACCGAGAAGGAGTACAACGCTGCCAGGGCCGTGGTCTACGCGGGGGCAGGGCTCCACGTCCAGACCCTTTTGGAGGCCGCGGGAATCCCCCCTCCACCAGATGAGGACCTCGACCAGCCAGAACCCACGCCCCAGGAGAAGCTGACCAGGAGGCCACCAACCAGATGAAGAATCTGGTAGAGAAAAAGGCCAAGCTCCAGGCACGAGCGGACAAGCTCAAGCAGGAGCTGGAAAAAAGCTTATTGGGGACGTGGACCAGGTTGACAAGGACATCAAGGCCAAGGATGTCGAGATCCAGGAGACGGCCAAGGCTTTCAAAGAGATGACGGCGGACTCCACCAGCACCGCTTTCAGCGCCCTGGAGGCGGTCCTCTCGGAGGCCGGCCACGAGCTCAACGAGGCCACCCGGGCCAAGATGAAGGCTGCCCTGGTCGGGAAGGAGGACCTCCCCCCGGACCCCTTCATTGTGAGTTTCAGAGGGCATGATGAGTACTTCCCTCGGGAGATGCCCCCCATGTACGGACCTGCCCGCACCGACTCGCGTGGGAAGCGCCCCACACCTTTGGAAGGGACGAAGCCAGAGGGAGCCGCAGGCAGCGACAACCCCGAATAGGGGCGTCTAGGCCAGGGGAACCCTGCCTTCCCCCTGGCCCTTTCTGGGCCACGGGCCCCCAGGCAGATTTTGCAAGGGCAGTCGCCCAATCAGGCCCATCTCCGCTCGTCATTGGAGGTTTTGCAGGCCTTTTCCAGCAATCAACTTGCTCTTTTACCGAGGGGGAGTGGCCCGCCACCCTACCTTGGCCAGGTGTCACACAAGAGTAGAGTTTTTTGCAAGTTTTGCAAGTATGATCTGCACGATCTAGGCAGCACTCATCTGTTCTGCGCGCAGTGCAAAGTCTTTCGTAAAACCCCGGCGGCGCTGCGTTGGGAGTCAGCGCCTGCCCGAGGCTTCATGGCGCCCTGCCTGCCTCTTCCCTCGAGGCCTGGGCAAGGCCTTTTGATTAGGGGTCGTGGGTCAACCAACCCCTTTTCTTCAACCCTGGCGTCGCAGGGAGTCCTCACGCCAACGTGTTCGGACAACCAGAGCGCCCAGGACTTCCCCAGGCTCTCTGGGCCAAAATTTTTTCCAACTGGTTGGGCCCTGGACCCTGAGCAGGAGCCCCCGCGACATCCACGGGTTCGGGGTTCACCCCACCCATCTCCCCCCCCAGGCCTGTGCTGTGTCTGGCCAAGGCTCTGGACATCAGCCCGTCTCGCGGGGTGCGCAGCACGGCTCACGGCCCACGTCGGCGGCGTAAAGCGCAGCAGGACTTCCTCTGGGAGTCCACTCGAAAACATCGCGCTGCCCACCGGGCTAGGATGCAGCAACAGGCCAACTCTCTTTTCTGGCACTCCTGGCCTTCAGGGCCTGAGCCCTCCAGAGCCAGACCGAAGGAACCTCGCCTCCTTCCCCGCCTGTTGACCCACCTACTCCCCCGGTCGGTCTCCTCCGAGACTCAAGAAGCGACGACCTAGCACCCGGGGGAACGTGGGCAAGCCCCTCCCGGACCTCAAGCCTGAGGCAAATACAGTTCAGGCCCTTGCTGCAGGGCTTGCGGATGAGCTTCGGACGAACAATGACTGGAGCTCGCGGAGGCCCTGGAAGCGAGGCCAGCTTGGGCTACCGGGTCTCCTACGAGATTCTCGAGGCCATGCAAGGCCACTCATGGTTGGACCCCATCACCGCCGCGGCTTTCCTGGACGACCTCGCGGCCCAGGGGCACCAGCGGGGCCAGGAGCCCGTTGTGTTTGTTAGTGCCAACATCACAACGTGGACTTCGGATATTCTCAAATGGCACCAGCCGCAAAAAGGGCCCCTTCTCATCCAGGAGCTGCACTTGGGAGATGAAGGTGCCAAAAAACTGCGCATCGAGGCTCTAGCCAGAGGGTACCATACTTTCCTCCCGGTCGAGGGCCCCAGACCCACGAAAGGGGGACTGGCCACACTTGTGCCCATCCATCAACAGGGCCGTTTCAGAGGAGGGTACCTCTCTGACGAAGGGATCGGTTTCTTGCTGGTCGAACTCCCCAGGGTTCGCCATTCCCTCCTTTTGGTCAACTTATACCTAAAATCAGGTGTTGGCATCACTGGGGCGCCCAACCCGGAAGTCCTAGCACGCTTGAAGCCCCTCCTGCGCCAAAATTCCAACTGGATTGTAGTGGGGGACTGGAATTTCCCCTCGCAGGAACTGGCGGAGACCACCCTGCCAGAGGCCTTTCGTGGGCGGATTGTCGCCCCACCGGAGGCGACGATCACCACAGGTAACTGTCTTGATTTCGCCCTGGTCTCTACCAGTGTCGCTTCTTTGCTGACCTGTGCTGCCAGCTGGCAAGTGCCTTTCCGGCCTCACGCTGCCCTGGAGTGCTGTTTCAACACCCCCGGGGGCCAAGTCGCCTTGAGGCAACTCCCTGCGTTCCCTGGGGTGCTCAAAACAGACAGCACCAATCCCCAAATGGGGGCCGCCGGTCGAACTGACAGCCCCACTCAGGATCCGACCTTTTCTCAGCAAACCTCCGGTGGCGGCCCTATGCTTGGTGCTTTCGGGTCGGAGGTGATCCAGGGCACTCTGGTCAACCGACAATTCGCCGAACTCACCCACAGGTTTGCGGTTGAACACTTCACCAAACCTGGCGGGCGTGGGTGCACCCGGCCCTTCGTGTACAAACCCCTCATGCAACCGAAGGAGGGCTACCCGTGGCACGGCAAGGAGGCGGCCTGGTGGCAAAAGCTGCAACTCGCCTGGGACAACCCAGGCACCAGCAATGCCCGCTTCGAGGCCCTACGGCGGTGTTTCCCATCGTCGTGCACGGAGGTGCTGCAGGCCAAACTCGAGAGTGCCGGCATCTCTGGCCTCCGCCCGGAAGATGTGCTCTGCAACGGGAACACCAAAGGGGACTCCCGTGCTGGGATCCGCACTGTTGTCAGGAGTATGTGCCAGACCGCCATTGAGGAGACCAGGTCCCGTGAGACACGGGACTACCAGGAGTGGCTTACTGGGGCCTCTGTGAAAGGCCTCCGGCCGCTTTTCCGCACGGTCAAAAAGCAGGAGGCTGAGGTTGCCCGCCCATTCGTGGACGAACCGGCCGAGGCCCGGCCCTACCTCCGACTGCAGCAGTGGGCTCGCCTCTGGGAGTCGAAGGGCCAGCCTCCTCCTCCCATCCAGGGCCTTAAAGAACGGGCCATTGCGCAAGCCCTTAGACTCCCGGCCGTCACTGGGGAGGAGTTCCAGCGGCTTATTCGTCGCCTGCCCTTGAAAGCTGCGGGTGCGGACGGCTGGTCCCTGGAACTGCTCAAAGCCCTGACACCGGGTGAGGTTTCCTCCCTGGCCTCTTTCTGGAGGGAAATCGAAACCACCGGCGAGGTGCCACAGCAGATGACTTTTACCATCTTCACGATGCTCGCTAAAAACGAGAAGATCGAAAGACCGATTGGTCTGATGTCTTCGCTCCTCAAGCTAGGGATGCAGGCAAGATGGCACCTCGTGGAGGCGTGGCTTCGCGATTACCGCGCTGAGCTTTGGTGGGACTGCGCTTTGCCAGAGCGCTCCACCTACGATGCCTCCCTCCGGAGAGGCGTCTGCTACGAAGCCGTGCGCGTTGACGGTCTCCATCGGTGCTCTTTGTTTGTCGACTTGAGTACCTTTTATGAGACTGTGGTTCACTCCACTCTCTGCGACGCCGCGCTCTCTGCAGGTTTCCCGGATCTTTTGCTTTTCCTTGCTATGGAATCGTATCGCGGCGGCAGAGTGATCCTTTCTGACGAAGTCGCGTCGCCCGTCGCATTCGCTCGCCGCGGAATTATAGCGGGCTGCCCATTAGCCCCTACCCTGAGCAAACTCGCTGTGGGCGAGCCGATTCGGCAGTGTTGTTCAGGACCGCATGTCAACCACGTAGATACGTGGATAGACGACATCACGGTAGATACTGAACATCACAGCCCGGACCAAGCAGCGAACTCCGCCATTAGGGTCTTCAGACGGCTTCATGCCTCGCTCTCTGACGCCGGGTACCAGGTATCTATCGGCAAGACCTATTTCCTGGCGAGCAGTCCCCAAGCCGAGCGCGCCCTGCGGCGAAAGTTGGGTGAGGGTGACCCCCCCATTCAGAGTGTTGCCAAAGACCTGGGCATGACGCTGTCAGCTGGCAGGAGACGGTGTACTCGCCTCTCCACTGCGCGGCGGACCAAAGCCAATGCCAGACTGGGCAAGCTACGAAGCCTTAAGGTCCGCAACATCAAGGCCAGCAGCCGGGTGTTTTCCATGTCCGTGCTGGCATCGGGGATCTGGGGACACCAGGCCCAAGGGGTGAGCCCCAAAACCATGAAATCGGTGCGACTCCAAGCTGCCGCCATCGCTGGCAAGGTTGGCACGGGTAGCGTCGAAATCGCGCTGGAACTTGGCGCCTGGTTGGTCAAGGACCCCCGGGTTTCTGTGGTCACCCAACACTTTAAGGCCCTCTGTCGGGTGATGGTCCGCCTCCCCGACCGCGAGCAGCTGGACCGCACGTGGGCGCAGCTCACTCGCCAACTCCAAAGGAAAGACAGATGGCGAGTGGTCTGTGGACCGCTGGGGGCCATGATAGCCTATCTGCTGGATCTCGGGCTTGTGGCTCCCACCCCGGACCGTTGGTTATTCCCCGCCGACCTGTGTCCTGCCACCTTGGCAGGGGTCCCTGATGACCCAGGGATGGTGGCCCTCAACCCCCTCCTACGGAGGCATTGGTCCGCCATCCTCTCTTGCCTGGCCAGCGCCTGCCACAAGGCCCGGTGGAAGGCCATCAGCACCCAAACGGGCTGCAGCAGCCTGGCCTCTGGTGTGGACACAACGGTTCCCACAGCCCTTGTGAAAAAGGCCCCTCGGATTAAGTCTGCCGCCCTGAGAATGGCCTGGCAGGGAGCTTTGAAAAACCGGCATGTCCAGGCTGGCCAGCTATGCCCCCTGTGCAATGTGCCCCTCACCCAGCACCACGTCGCCACGGATTGCAGGTGGTGGCAAGGCCCCCCCTCCTCCCAAGCACTGGGAACGCCTCGAATGCTTTGCGGTCGCACGGCTCACCTCGCATTTGGAGGAGCGGGCTGATTGCACTTCCGATTGCAGTGCGGTGGCCAAACAGCAGTCACGCGCTGTAAAGCCCTGGGTTTGGGCCCAGGCCCTGGATAATGCGTCTCTGGCGCAAGTCACGTGGACCAGGTCCCACACCACGGAGGCCGAACACGCGGCTGAATTCGGCCCTGACCAGGGCTGGCGCCGGACTATCAACGCCCAGGCTGACGCCGCGTGTGGCGAAGCTGTGCTGGCCGCCATTTCCCACTTACCACAGTGGGATCCATCCCCTGCAGATGATTTGGCGCGAGAGGTGGCGCAACACCTCCAACGCAAAGCCGAAGTGCTACTTCTGAGTACTGACAGGCCCCCATGGGAGGCCGGCGGTGCCAGTCCGGTAAAGGGCAAGGGGCCTCCCCGCCCTGATGCCAGGCTTAAGGCGAAACAAGCCAAACCCCCTCAGAGGCAGCATCGACCTGGTGCGGATGGGGGTATAAACAAAAAACAACGCCTGGAAGCCCTCATGGCAGGG